TTCGGTTCCAGCACACCTAACCCCACCACTTTTTCACTACTCACTACAGGTTCATGCGCCATTGTGAATTTAACAGTCAAAAGTATCACAGAGGCCATCATGAACTTGCGACTATCAACAGGTATGGGAATCGACAACCTGAACTCAATTGTTATCGGGAACATCGGTGAAGATATGTCTCTATTCCTGCCTAAGATATTCACCCTACCGATGGAAAGTGACGTATACCCCACTGGATGAAAAACTAGTTACATGGCGCCTCGCTATAAGTCCGGCGACAAATCGAACGCTAATAATTACAGACCCATCAACATAATGCCAGTCCTGTCTAGAATTATGGAAAAAGTAATTAGAAGCAGCGCCTCTGATTGCCTGTTACCAGAAAATCTAGTCACAAAGTCTCAGCATAGTCTCATAAAGAATAAGCTCTGTGTTGCTTGCCACTTTGATTTCTTCAACTTCATCACCAGTAACCGCGAGGTAAGTAAAATCGCCATTGTTCTGTACTTTGATATATCAAAGGCATTTGATGAGGTGTCTCATAGCGTACTCTGATAAGCTGCAGTCAATTGGTATTTGTGACCCCTTACTCAGCTGGATAAAATCATTTATTAGTGGTCATGCTCAAATCGTGAAAATAAACTCCGTGCAGTCTGAACTAAGACAAATAACTAGCGGAGTTACACAAAGTAGTGTCCTTGGGCCTTTGTTGTCCATAATCTATATCGACAGAGTGTGTAACTGCTTCAGTGACGGCAAAACATTCCTATACGCCGACGACTTGAAGGTTGTGTACACTTGTCACTCTCATGAATTGCGTAATACTCTGGATAATGCTCTACAGGAACTGAGTAGACTCGCATCTTGGTGTGCTGAGTCGCACCTTGAATTCAGTAACGACAAATACGGTTGGCTTACTATAGGAAACGACAACCACGACCTGACCCTTGAGGTATGCGGAAAACAGCTACCTAGACTAGCTTCTGTGCTAGATCTTGGCACCAGGTATTCCAGAGGCTTGACATTCTCGGAACAAACAGCATATATCAGATCCAAGTCACGCAAACTCTTGGGATGTATCATTCGTAACTGCTATAGCGCTGAACCACGGGTTCTACTCCATAAAGTGTGCATTCGCCCACATTTAAAATATTGCCCGTTTATTCCCAGTGGCCTCCGTAGAGGTGGTAAACTGAAACTTGAAGGGGTATAACGTTACTTCACCCTCAGAACATTAGGAACTGGCCGTAATCTAGACTACACATCCAGATGTAACATGTTGGGGTTAGATCCACTCTGGAGGAGGAGACTCAAACTGAACCTTATTTTATTATAAGTTACTTAATCAGCACTTGCACTCTAACGGTCCGCAAATCAAGCTAATTGTATCGTCTACGTACGATATGAGCAACCACAAAGTACTGGTTGAAACCGAGTGTTGTATGACGAGTTTGAGAGATAATTTCTTCCTCAGGAAATTCTCACACATTTGGAACAGGCTTCCAGAAGAAACCCGTATGGCAAGCTGGTTGACACTTTTCCGCTCTTCACCTAGTAGGCCACTAATAAACGACAAGTCTATCGCCCAATTAGTCACCACCTATGCTTCCTGGGCTAATGAGAATATACTTGGACCTCGAAATGTATGAAACGGCTATTCCAGCCCTCGTGTTCCTCCTACACTTATGGGTTGACGACTGCTTACAAGGGTGCTAGGACTGGTTCCCCTCCTCACTATAATGAACTTATGTACACCGGTCCCCTCTCAAAGCTACTACGATGCACTCGTGTGGAAAAGTTTTAAGAATCTTATGATGGAAAAACTATGTGGTTAATCACACATACACATGAAAATGTACATAAAGTCCGAATAGGTCCAAAAGTATGGGAACTTCTCTCTTTTCCAAGCTGGTCTGCGTGATAATTCCCTCTCCCACATCTGCTCGAGCTTCTTCTTTGTTTTTTATTTTTACAGCAACAGCTCGATGAGGACATTTGATGCTGAATTTCAATCTGAACATATCTACTTAGTGGAAATAATACCTGCTGTTTAACTCCATGAATTATTGGACTGCTCCCAGTCTTTCGTGGTTTATGAAACATCTTCACAATCAAATCATCAGCTGGTCAGGATTCTTCTTGCGACCAACCGTCTAAAGTTGCCCGACAGCCATAATGGCACAAATATTCTGAACAAATGATCAGGCGAGAGACCAATATAATTTTTGGCTCGGAATATGACCTACCTGCAGCAATCCCACACTACAAGTTCTATAGCACTCTGTATCAAGTGATCTTTTTGAGTAAAAGTTACCACGCATCAAATACACTTCTCGAATGATGCTGCTTACGCTAATATGAACGATGCCTGAAGTCCACATGTAACCACTGCCGTTTGAACTATTAACCATCTCAACTTCCACTTCCATCTACTACTAGAAGTAATCCCAGTGGAATTAATGTACACTACCTTTAAACCACGTGGTGAACTGGAAATGCATGGATTTAGACACTCACCTTGGTTATATAACTGTGGATACCTACTGATACTCTAGATCGTGTAAATAGGCCCTTTGTGGTTAACAGAGCCAAAAACTCAAGAACTTTCTGGTGAATGGACGTTTATATTACTAAAAAAGAAATATGCAAACGGACTAACAACGTCGTCTAGTTATAACACAAACTTCGAACATTGCGCTTTTGTCATTGATAGTGGAACCTATCTGTGTAATGACAGATGGAAATCCAAACCCGTCTCTTTATTTGCAGCAAGTTTTAATAAGTTTATGCACATCAGTAACTTGCATTAATCTGTAAACTTTCAAAATCATGATTTTGACGGTGCTTGTGAACTGGTATCTGTCATGTTAAATCCATTATATGGGAATGGAAATTTTCATTATCTTCACTTTGAAGCACTGCATATGCTGAAAGTGGTATTTTCTTTGTCCCGTAACCGCGATCTGATGTTTTTGATGGAGTTAAACGACCTCCCCTCCGTACTATTCAGGGCCCGTAAAATCTTGTAGATTTTTGGCATATATCAATGTGATGGTGCCCGTAAACTGGTTTCTCTCATGTTGATTACTAATATGAGAATAAAAATTTATTTATTTATGGATGCACGATAAGAATCGGAAATGGTGGAATAAACTACCGGACACAACCACGCAGAACCCTGGGGGGGAGTCATGGGGTACTGTACTCGCTGACGAACCCCATTGGATTAGAGATCCTCCATTCTAACTCCAAATTGGCTGACCTACTGGCTCGTGAATTCCAAAACAACTCCTGTCACTTCGGAGGTGAAGCCCCACATCTGTGGGACACCCATATTATACCATATAGAGTTTGAACCCTCTATAATTGTGGAAATATTAAGGAATCAGAACCCGAATAAGTCTCCAGGAATCGATGGGACTCGCCCAAGAGTACTGAAAGAGTGTGCTGAAGTTCTGTGTGCCCCACTAGCAAGCCTCATCAGATACTCGCTTCTGGAACGCAGGCTACTCTCTGATTGGAAACGGGTGGCTGTCGTCCCAATATACAAAGGTGGAAACAAACTACTTGCCTTCAAATACAGACTGATTTCCCTGATCTCTTCAGTTGTGAAGGTCCTGGAGAGAGTTATAAATGACTCATTTCGTGATCACTTACTCGAGAAATCGATCTTAAAAGACTGTCAACATGGCTTTTTACCTGGAAGGTCATGTAACACCGATTTATTGATAGCTTGAAATAGCTGGTCTCTCTGTTGAGCAGAAAAAGCTTGTTCACATTGGTTTACTTGATTTTTCTAAGGCCTTTGACAGGGTAAACCATGATATCCTTTGTAAGAAACTTCAGTTCATGGGTGTACACGGAAAATTACTAACTTGGCTTAGAGATTATCTGTACACCAGGTTGCAGTCAGAGTTGGCGCCTCCCTAACTAACTGGTTCTGGATGCTGAGTGGTGTGCCTCAAGGTTCTATTCTAGGCCCACTACTGTTTCTTGCTTTCATCAATGACCTACCGGGAGTCCTTAATTCACGTTCGCTATTTTGCGCCAATGATCTGAAGATTCGGAGGGAAATATATGCCAGCGGATATTTTGGTCTTCCAGGAGGACCTTACGAAAATCCTTAATTGGATTGCAGAAAGCCTGCTTCCTATTAACTCAGCGAGGTGTAGGATAATGATAGTCGTCAAACGTAAAGGCAGCCCCAGTCTTTACTGTCTGGGTGGAATAAATACCCGTCACTCTATCATGGAACAAGATCTGGCAGTTACACTAAACGATACACCGGGAGCCTCAGCCCACTGTCGCCTCGCAGCCAACAAGGCCTATGGGGTCTTAGGGTTTCTCTCGCGAGCTCTGGGGGGTCTAACTCCTTCTTTTCCACCGCAATGTATGCTGTGTACATTCTCCCTCATCTAGAGAAAAAGTCGCTTGTGACGTCCCCATACTTAAAGAAGGACGTATTCATCCTAGAACGGGTACAGGGAAGAACTACAAAGAAAGTGATTGGGTTACGGCACAAACCTTACCCAGACTGCTTAGTTGCTCTTCAGCTGCATCCAGTACAATACCGGAGGATCAGAGGGGATATGATCATGATGCACCACATCGCCCACAATCCCCTACGTCCTATCAGATCATTTCTAGGCTGTAATCGGAAACGCAACCCGAGGGGTCGCCCGTTAAGAATAGAGCAAGAGAGGGCATGTACGAAGATTCATGCTAACTCATTTGCGGTTAGTCTGTAGACTATGGCACTCCCTTCCTTCAGCAACTGTTACAGCCCCATCCCCTGATACTTTTAAAAGGAGGTTAGACTCTCACCTTGAGTCGTACGGTACTGATGGGCTGTACTTGAGAAGCTTTCCATCATCTGCAGATGAGGTGCAGTAATACTACCTTGAGATCAGACTAATTATTAATCTTATCTCTATCCTTCCAGGTTTTTCAGAACCGGAAAGATCACTATGAGCACTTCGAACTCAGAACATATTCCAATAAGACAGATGTAGAAACCAAGGAACCGCGAATCACTAATCCTACAAAGCGAAGTTTGAAGTTTGTGTCATCTCATAGGCGGGAATTTAACACTGTGCGGTATACCAAAATGACTTTCCCGACAACTGATGAACTATATTCTTGTTATGACAAGCTGTCAGATGCTTCTACAGATATAAAGGAGGTTGTTTTGGCGCTTATCTCATTTTCCTGTTTTTATTTTAGAAGGAAGCCGTGTATAAAATTATACTCGAAGGTGTCAAGGGAGAGGAAAACACGAAAAGGCTGTCTAGCCAATTCATAGCAAGATTTAGCAAACTTTTCGAAAATCTTTTGGAGGACAGTTTCAACTGCTTCCTAGATTTGTGTGACGACGATGACGTAAATGTGCGAAGCCAAGTTGTGCACGATTTGTTACAGTTCTGCAAACATGCACGCGTTTTCGTCCCACGCGTTGCTGATGTTCTGGTTCAGATGTACCAGACAGATGATAAGAAAGTAAGTGTTTCCGTGTGATTTATGGCTTTCAGGAGCTAAATGTCATTTCTTTAGCATTGTCTCAGCTGCTTCATTCCGACCCAAAAGCAACCTTGCTTGGTATATTTAATCAGCTTCTTTCAATGAACGCTGAAAACTCTAGAGAAAATACTCTAAAGTTTTTATGTGAACGCTTAAAAACTCTACCAGATGATGTGTTGACGAGTGACCTCGAGTCGTTTGTTGTCGAGCAGATTAACAGAGTATTACACGACGTATCTGAAGAGGAATTTCCTATGCTTATTTCAATACTGTCATCTCTGAAATGTATGTCAACTCTTACTGGTAGACAGAAACTAGTCGGAATGATCACCCAACAAGCTCTTCAAGCTGTCCCTATATTTAATGCTCGGGATCGTGCATGTATAGCCCAAATTCGCGAGAGCTGTAAACAGGCGGCCTTGTGTGTATCCGTAAGTGGGTTTTCATTTTTTTGCAATTCATAAATAGAAAAATGTCAATGCTCATGATTTGTATATATACTTGTTGGAGAAGTTCCTACCACAGTTTGGTGATTTCACTGAGGATTCATTCGATGAACGGCTTAGCTTGCTTCAGTTGACTGCTGAGTTGTTGTCTTTTCCAAGCCCAGCACTTAATTCTACAAAGTCAGAGGACATAGTGAAATATTTGGACTCTTCCTTCAATATACTGCTGGTGTTCTTACCTAGTATCCCTTCAGAAGATACAACGAAAATCGTAAGTTTCAAATATCTCTTATTTGATAACTAGTCGGAACAACCTGTGGATAACAAACCAACGCTAAACCATATGGGATTAAAGTTTTCGGAGTTGGAAGCAGTTTTATTCATATGCTGTCAGCTTGGATGTTACTCTCCAGAATATTTTGGGGGGAAATCAACTGATACTGAACTCAAATCATCTGCTATTCAAAGTGGTACAGAGAGACTGCGAACTATTAGACCTCGCCTTCAGTATCTTAGCCAATTAGCACAAGACTACGCTGCTAATATTTCTGGTCAGTTGGATAAGGATGTACAGTCCGAAGAAAGCAAGCTCCGTATCATGGCTCATAGAGTAAGCTATTAGTTTTTGCATAACGTAACAGTAAATATGCATCATTCCAGTTTTGCTCTACCCCAGTAATATTCAGTTATCACGTGTCAAGTGATAACAGTATAGATTTAGACTAGTGTCGTATTGTTTTCTTTGTTGCACTTCTTAGCACCTATGTTGTACTTACTGTACTGCTCAGGAAAAATAGTCGTTCATATAATATGATTTAACCGTCCTAGTTGGTGAAAGACGTGAAATGATAAGTGTTGAATTGTCCGAGGATGTTAGAATTCATAATTAAGCTTGTTTGCTTACAAGACCATTTTTCATGCTCTTCTGTGCGATACCTGGAGTTGGTGAAACGTAGAACTTGACTGTTGGGATGTTTACTGTTGTGCAAGTCTTCATCACGCAGTTTTCCTTCGTAGCAGGTAACGTCAATGCAAAACTAAGAAGATTCAATCACACGGATTGGCAACTAGGTGATGGTTCTGGAATTACAACCACGAGAACGCTCAACGATAGTCGTATCATACACTTGTCTTCTAAATCAACCAGTTACCGACCAGCAATAATTTCAGACAAAGAGATAAATTACCTGACCTATCGATCGTCGACATCTACTCAAAGGGATACATAAGTGTACTAAATTGTTATGTCACCAGTAGACAGGGTGTGTTTAGGGTAGCTGGTTCTCCCGGTTCATTCGTCGAGACACTGATTCTAGCTCACGTGTATCTACTACCAGGTGAACCTAGTCAAACAGTCTGAAGAACCGTTTCGAGACCAACTCACTGATTAAGATACTAAAGAAGTGGTATGACACCGAGTAAGACACGTGTTATCCTGAAGAAACCTAGCATCATCGACAATTTACTATAAAGGTGGTAAAGACCTAGCTGAGCCTCGTAAAATTTTTCCAAAATTAATGAGTGCATGGGAATGCACTCATGCATACGCGGCGCACAAAGAGGAGGAGTGAAAGGAACTAAAATACAAACTGAGAAAAAGTCCGCCCGATTATTATGACCAGTGGTGGGCAGCGAGAGCTGGGACGATGAAGAGTGTAACAGCAGTGGAATATAATGGACAGTTATTTACACTAATTGAGGAAAAAAGTGTAACCATAGCCGAGAAAAATAGACCAGCGATCTACTCTCAAAAGTAAGTAGCCTAATGGGGAAAACACAAGAACAGCTCACCTGGTGTGAAGCTACTTTTCGGTTTCCACCTTAGAATCATATGCGAAGTGAGATGTTAGTATAATGCCTTTAACACGTACAGAAGTTAAAAAGGGTGTAATTAGTGTGAAAAGAAGATAACGGTAGGCCTCGATGCCTTTAAAACCGGTTAAGGATGATTGATGGGTCCGACTAGGGTATTGGTTGAGGTGTTGGAATCAGATGTAATCTTATAAGTTGATGGTTTTCCTACGATTTAAGAAAAGGGAAAAAAGGCTCACTTATGATGACCAAAAGGAAGTTAACTAGACCAAAATAATCCCCAAGATTCCAGCTTCCATAATTATCGAATTCTTCACTGAAGCTCGTGCAAAGCATGCCTGAGAAAACCTGGGTGTGCACTAGAGACTATTTTCCCTCTACTAGATCACGGAATACAGGAGCACAAAATCATCGTTTTTTTTACCTACAGGGGATATTTGATTGCATTATTTGAGAGGTATTTTAGTATTATTTCACTTAACGGAATACCTGGTAAATAAGTCTTCGTACTAGAGACTGTACTTGAATGCCTGTAGTTGTGTTAGTTTATGATAAGGTAACGGGTGAGATATTTAATTGATTGACTCAGAAACCACGTTCAGTTCTATGCACTGGGCTATAAGCCTCAATTGATATTTGGAAGCTAGTCGTGCTACATGGTCACTTAACCACCTGTAGGTGAAGAGGAAATTCCAACCTATAACCTACGTGTTGAAATTCGGTCGTTTAGACTAGTGAGACATATTGAGTTGTATCTTTCAGAGATCCCCGCTCTCCGCTTTCATCCAAGTTTGTTGATGTGCTTATATAGGTACCTCATCTGGTTTTTTCGGGAATCGGTCTTCTAGCTAATTCCCTAGCTAGTAAATAAATGACACAGTCTTGTTAGGTGTAAGTGCCAAAAATATGCAGAAACTAGGGGCGGAAAATAACGATTTGTGGATTCTTTGAAAAGTTTTCTCACCCAGGTGTTTCCTCAGGACTAGTCTGCATCTGTATTCTATCTGACAAGAGAGAGCGAAATGGTTGTTTGCGTTGATCACTTCACTCTGGAAGTTTCATCAACCGTGATACATCAATGCTTGATAGAGTCTCGGGAGGCATAAGAGCTTTACCTGGTTTCTGTCAACTATGGAACTTGTGAGAGTTCTGACTGCACACAGCCATCATGGGTGAGTGAATTGGAAAGTATCATCTAGGTATTTGACTGTTTTTGCCTGTGTAGCATCTTTTTATGTACTGAAATCATCACCAAGCAGGTCAGTTGAAAAGGTTGTAAATCGTTATCAACTTAGTTGTTTGGGGTGTGTTACGCATGCCTACCCATCGTTTACTCCAACAAGATATATTAACTCGCAAGTGGGTTAGATTGAAGTAAAGCTGAGGGTGGTCAGACCAGAATACGATAGTAATCCATCAAGTCTGTCCGTTGTTCTAAGTTGTGTAGCGAGATGTAAACTTCCTAGTTGGGGTTCATGTGACAACCGAAATCTATGTTGGGAGACTGATGTGGCTGTGAATAAGTCGTCCTTTTACTTTCTTTTTAGCCGTCACATCACATTTCATCGCTAACTTTTGTCCCTCTTTTTTGCGTGATACGATTTTTTACAGTCTGATTTCTACTTCTTTGCTTTTCGTCCTTTTATTTTATACTTTGATGTGCTGTGGGGGAGTGTGGCTATCTGAACTGTCACATAGTAATGTAAGATTGTATGTGAATATTATTCGTGCGACTGACTGCTTTTTCCTAAACAGAACTTGTGTTTTGGGTTTTGGTTATAAGAAAGTTATGACTAATGAATCACTTTTTTACCTTCAACTTGTTACTTGAAAGTTTACTTACTTCACATTAAGATTTTATTTCTATCTTTATAGAATAAATATGGGTCTTGTTAGAGCGAATGTTTTCATCTTGGTGTATTTCTACTTTCAATTTGAAAAGTGTTAATGGCCATCAGATTTTGTTAGTAGAACTACGAATGAAGTTTAAAAGTGCTTGTATTTGCTGTAGAGTGGGGTCAACCACTTACTCCAGTTCTTTGTCTTCTACATATTTTAACGACTGTGAGTGAAGTCGCTGCTACAGTGTAAGCCCTCTGTCTATTCAGATAAGAATTTACACAGGCCACCCAAGCTGACTGTAGAGAATTATTAAAAAGACGAGCTAGTAAGTAAGGCCATATTTCTCATAACCTCTTTCTTCCTTTCCTTCTTCTCGTACTTCATATTTCTTTTGACTGAATTTTTTTATCTTCATCTTGCACCTCACTGGCTCTTTACTTGATGTACTGATATGAGCTATGGCAACTCAGACCGTTACACAGTAATGCCTGGTCCTATGTTGATATTGACGATGATCTCAAAATCTCACATTCTCAAAAGCATTTCAAATTTAACTCTCTACCTTTAACACCTGACTGGTGCTATATTCATTTATTAGTAATTATGAGCTAACTTAGGTACTTCTTAACTACTTTTTAATGCTTTTATGTGTTTTTATTCTGTATCAGCTTATGATGAACATCCAAAGGATGGTACGGTGCTTCTTCCATAATCCTCCGATGTTTAAGAGTATCAACGTACCATTGTCGTGGATCCAGCCACTTGTTAGTCCGATTCCTGGTACTAAACGTCCTTTTCCTACAGAGCAGGTGAATCAAAACTCTACTGGTGCTCGGCAGACACGTGCTGATAGACCACTGTATACCCCACCGGTTGGCCAGTGGTCTCGTGTCGATGGTAACGATTTCAATAAGGGCAGAAACCGCTTTGGTCGTGGTGGACGCGGACGTGGTCGTAATTTCTAAATGAGCATTTTTCACTTCCTGTTTTCCATATTCTTATTGCTGACTGTATAATATACTTGAACCAGTCGTGTAGTGCGACCGAAACTTAAGGTTCATATTTTGCATTTTTATGTATATCGATAAATAAGGCGTCACAAAATGCAACCTATATCTTCTTTCTAACCAGGGTGTTTTAGGATCTAAAGCAACTGGTCCCTTTGATAAATTTAAACAGCGTAATGAGAAGACGAAGATTATCTGAAACATGTGGTGTTTTAGGATCGTTGTTTTCAGAATGTCAACCATTGTTTGTTCAAATAATTTAGTATCCTAGGTAAATACAATGTTTGTTTTCCTTGAATATCTTGATATCAGGATTATTAACTCGATGGGTTCAACTAATCTACGTATATTCTTGATGGTCAATAAATCATGCTTTCGAATGTTGCGAAAGTTAGATACACTTAGTGTGCATCGTCATAAAGTTAGTAATCTTTTGAAACTCATTGTGTTAAATGGCCTGTAAAGCTGTCAATTTCAGAATTGTTCCAACAGAAGTTGTATTTGTGTTGAAATTCTCGGCAGAGTGTCCTCTTGTGACTTGCATGATGCGCACTGATTTTTTGATGTTGCTGCTAAAGTTCAGAAATTAGGTCAGAAAAGTAGGATTCCATACGACTACGACATACGACCAGACATTACTGCGTAATTGTCCAAGGTGCCACATCTCAAGCAGCACATCAAGCAATAAAGCAATATCATTACAGATAAAGAAAAACAGATCAAAGGCAGTAGAACGGAGGAAGGAGGAAAAAGAAAATCCCGAGGTTAGTATGACGATTCAGATGAAGACCTAGTGTGGATACATCTGCAGCGCTCACATTTGTGCCGATTCTGACCTATATCACCTAAGGTCTTTGGCCATTGGTTTTTATTTTTATGCGTACCCCAACCGACCAGTGTGTATCTCCCTACTTGATTCTGACCAACACTCAATGGCTTCATGCTGTCATGCCACTTTTTAGTCTAGCTACCCCGAGCAGTTTTGCAGCCTGAACATACTTAAGCCAACACTTGCCCCAGCCATCTTAGTCGATGAATGTCTAAAAGTTATCAGTTGACTTTCCTCCCCCCACTAAGACTCTACACGTGACTCCTGCGTCACCGACGTGGTGGCGCTATGAGAAACGGCCTATACTACGAAGGCAGCGGTGGTCAAACACCAGAAGCCTTATCATGCCCTCTACCTTTAATGGCCATGTTACACAGCCATACACTAGAACACAATGAACTACAACACACTCGAGCCTTAATTGGTAGTCGGATATCGCGGTTGGCAGTGAAGTGGTCAACGTCCTCTATCTTAGCACTCCTTATTCCTAAACAAGGCGTCAGCGAATTCCAGTTCTCGAGCCACGATTTTCATGATGATAAATGCATCTTAAACGTGCCTAAGTTGCCATTCATGATGTCCAGAAGACATCGCATCTTATCGTCATCTCCACCTAAGAGTAGCATGTCGTCTGCGTATTGTAGATGTAACAAGGATTCTCCTGTGATAACATCAATCCCTATGAAGTCAGGCGACGTAAAGGCGACCTTCATTAGTGCGTCTGTGATAAAATTGAATAGGAATGTGAAGAGTGAACATCCTTGGAGAATACTCGATGTATAGGGGTCATCTTACAACTCTGCATAGTTTTTTTCCACGCCCACTAGTGTTCGAGTACAGAGCCTTCAAGTGAGTGATGTACCTGCACCTTTTTCAGTAAGAGACACTGCCATGAGAGCTCTCGATCGACAGACTCAGCCAATTGTGTTCCAGAGCCTGATGGGGTCTGAATATCTGTTTGATATACCCACGACCAGGTCAGAAGCCTGCCCGGTTTTCTCACACAAGCTGTTCCCAAGCTCCACTCAGACTTCTAATGCTAATAAATCCTAGATACTATGTTCACCAGGCTGGTTCCTTTGCAGTTATCACGAGAGGACTTCTCGCCTTTTTTGAAGACGGGAATAGTGGTTGAGACCAGGTAAAGGGAGTCATATGTGACTCCTACACATTAGTTGACACTTCAGTTCTTTTGACTGAAAATACTTGACAACTGTCCTTAGTCAGTCTGGTCCTCCTCGTCTCAGGGGGCTTACGGCGTTTTAGGTTTCTGCAAGCGTTGGGTGTCCTATCTCGATGTTCCATTCAGGATCCAATTGGGTGGGGGGGGGGAGCGAGATTTATTTGAAGGCCTTTGGAGTGTTCCACTCATCATTTCAGTTGTCTCCTACTGCGAGTGAATCATAGATCCATCCTTCTCGCTATGTTTTCACTAACCACTAACTTTTTTTTTTACCTCAGTTTCCTTGCTAAGTCTAAATGATTGCCCAATGTTACCTATCGCCTCTGCCTTTCCCATCTCTCTAGTCTTTGTTGTCCACCAATGTTTTCGGCCATTGCTTAGACTTTTTGTCAATATACATTTGAGTTGTTTCCGCTCTTCATTGTCTTGGGAGCCTGTAGGGATTTGCTCGTGTGCACTTATTGATTCAGGAGAAATTGCTGAGATCATTTGGTCATCTTTTAACACTTTATGAGAGTCAGTTGCAGTCTTTATCGTTGGTTTTACAGTAGACTGGTGATAGCACAAGGCTTCTTCTGAATGTGTGGTTGTTCTGTTGCTGTAACTGTCTGACCAGTTTCTCGCTGAAAGTAGCCTTAGTGTTCTCATTGTCGAATTGCACTCGTAATGATCTTCTTGCTTTGGTTTTTCCGAGTCCATTCAGGTGCAAAAATATGCATACTCGGACTAATGCGTGTTTCATAAGAGTTGTCAATCTTCTACCGATACTCTTCAGCGATAGCTGATGGTCATATGGTCTATCTGTATCCACTGCTGAGCAGAGGTTGGTGGATTCAGCATCATACAGTGTCTCTCTCACCATGTTCGAAGTTCGTGCTGGTCAGAAACACATGAGCATAGTTGTAGGAGGTGGTCGTCATTACCTGTTCGTTCGGCTAGGATCCCAAATGTGTCACCTAAGTGCCTTTCTGTTTGATTTAGCCTCTCAATTTGTGCATTGAAATCACTCGCAACAACTACCCTTTTTCAACATTTTGCCTTCAGTAAGAGTCTAGATAGTTTTCAGTAGAACTCACCCTTCACTTCTTCTGAACTGCAGTCAGTGAGTGCATGTGTAGAGATTATATAGAGAAAACGGCGAGTTTCAGTATTCTTTTTAGTCCTCACTGTACCATTCAGTCGAACGGCGTACAGGTGACTGTCAGTTGGGATCCAGTTGAATAGTATACTTTTTGCCTTAGCGCTTAATTCTGAATCTGCACTTAAAAGACCGCAAGAACCAGCCGTCGTATCTTCAGAAACTGAAAGGGTGAGTTTTGCTGATTCATCATATTGATCGGGCGAGGTTAAGTGAATTGTTGGACTTTAATCCTGTATGCTTGTCACACAAACACAGTACGCATCCATAGTCCCAGTTGCTAGAGTTTCGGCTAGCAGATCTTGTCGCCCGATTTGACGGAGGGTACAAACACTGAAATCTATTTGTAGTTTGGAGTGCGGTTTTATGAGACCAGGGATTCTGTTCCGTTGGTTGGGTCGTTATTGACAGCTACAGAGCCGACAGAATTTAAAGATGATGCAGGATTATTGACCGAGAAAAGTGAAGAAACATTAGAAGGTAAGGATGCGGAAAGTGGACAGTGATTTGAGAGAGCTTGAGCTTTGACGGAGTTATGGTGGTGGTTGACACTTCCCAGCTGCTCACACCATGATGGCTGATTCTTCTCCGGGTATCTTTAAAGAAGGGTTAGTGTGTGACTGTAGAGCCTATGGGACATCTGCCTGATGCTGTTCTCATACGGTCTACCTGGAGTTTTCCGCCGAATTCAGCTATAAGTCCATACCGCTGGTACCGGGAGACCACAGGGTAGGGACGAGTGTACTGTTTTTGGGACCAACGTTTTCTAACCATCCCTTCCTATAGGGAGGATGGCAGCGGTATGTCACTGATGGTCATCCTTGGGGAACAGCCTACTGCTGTCGCACTCGTGTCCAGTCAGCAATACTTCACTTTCTGATCCCATAGCGTGAAAATTCACATTATGACGGTAACTGCTTTCTGTCTAACCACTACCCAACGGACATTTGTGGTATGATAAGACTTCTAGGGAACGATCATGTCACCATTATGGCTAGTTCGGCTATTGGGATATGTAATTCCAACATCAGGATCAAGAACATCTAATCCCAAAAGATAAAAGGAAAATACGGTCAAAATTTAGATATTTGACAGATTACAAGATAGGTAGCGGATGCATCTGATCCACTGCGCTTAGTTCTACCTTCCAAAGTCCAAAGTCGTCGATCATGGTTGTCTCACTCTCCTTAACCAGAAGGCTTACATTCCTTGGATTAAGACAAAGACTACGTGGATTAATGTCGTTCTTTAGTCTTAGTCTTGTAATTTTTCTTAACCTTCTTCAAGCTTGCTGACACATTAGGACAGAAAATGAATGAACGTGCTTATTTCGTGTTTCATTCAGGAACGAAAAGCACCCATAACCTCTACTGATAAATGTGCTTTACTCAGTACTATACGCATAACCTCTATATAAGTGGTGTGGGGTGATTTTTAACTCTTTTGTCTGGGTTACTGGTCCTAACTCCACTCCATCTTCTGAGTTTTAGGCAAGGAGGTAGTATTACAACTGCCTCACAACAGATGTAGCGTATTCTTAATTACACGAACGTGCTGGTGGTTGTTAAGTGGGCTTCCGTCTTCTTTTTCGAGATTGATCAACTAGACCAGAAGTGCTTGAGTTGTTTCGGTTGTATGTGGTTCATTATTTCATACTCATACTTGGTGTAGGATGGAAAACTGTCAGATTAGTAAGAATAATACATGGTAGCGTTGTATGGATTTGTTGGTTATTTGTTTGAATTATGGGCCAGTTATATTGGTTGAGAGTAATGTGAAAACGTAGTCGGGATAGTATTGTAATGTGGCTAATTTCACTTCATTACTATGATGATGGTGAATAAGGTGGTATAGCTTAAATCACATGCTTAAACTAACTATTGCGAAATATTTAACCCTGATACAGTCACATGAATCTGATTTGTTAACGTTTTATCCACACTGATGGGTCATCACCTAAACTTAACTCAGTGCAAGATATTTGCTATCCTTTAACTAGCAGTATTTCTCCCTTTTATCTGGAAATCAACGGACAAAAACTGGTTGCTCACTGTCCTTACATATCTGTGGTTCGAGTCCTGCATGTATGTATACGTCTAGGTAATATTTCTATAACATACCATGATTTTATTCATAGTACAGTAATACTATTAAATGTATTGTGTAGAGTAAAGT